GAGCCGTTCGGAGTTTTAGTGAGAAGCCATGGCCAGTGGGGTTAAACTCTGTCAGGCGTGGGGAAGTTACCCACAGAAGACAATGGGTAAGGTCGTGCAGTACAGTGGGTTGGTTGAAGTTAAACATTAGCACCGTTAAATGTCGGCTCAGTGGTCTACAGGTTCAGCGTTCGTGTACGAGGGTCGTGAATGCTGGGGAGTTATAGACTAGGACGAAATGACCGTCCGCAACTTTGAGGCTTCTTATAGTGGTCTAGCTTAAAACAACTATGAAAAATAATACAATCTCCACAAATCTCCACTATTATTATTTGAGTGAAACTGTATTATATCATATAGTTGTTTGTAATTTATTAAAATTATTAGTTGAGTAGACGTGTAAAACATGGTGTTCACATTATTATTATTATTATTATTATTATTATTATCCAGTCACCACCTACTCACCTTTTCTAGTCTATAAACAAATTTTTAGACACTCAATAAAATCAAATCAGACCAGTTATAATCTTTGATGTTATTATTACTGAATAGGTGTATTTCAATAATAACTAATAGCGAGACAGTACTTAACATAAACGAAACATGACATTTGATGTGTAAATGTTATTCGTCATGGATCAACTTCACTTAAGTTATCACTGGTACTAGCCAACTGTTTCAGTATAAGATTAAATGCATAAGAAAAGCTCTCCTAATTCCACCAAGAAATCAATCTCAGTACCTTCAAGTATCATGAAAGCCTACTGATCATCAGACAGGCGGTAAAAATATCTGTCAAGGTTGTAAGTAAATAGTATTGGCTAGAATCTGACCAATATCTCAATTGAAATCAATTTGTGACGAATACCAACTTGCATATTAGACTAATGCAAAATCTTTTTCATCGAAACTACTTTTCAACTTAAATACTAAACTATAATAAAAAAAAATTGTTCATCCTTACACACCATGACAACAACAATGAAAGGAATAAAATGAAAATTCTCCTTGTTATCTGATCAAACATGTTATGACAAACATTAATACAATACAGTCAGTATAGAAACAGTTATAAATGCAAATGTTCGCATAAACGTGATTTTCAGACATCATTGAATTATTATCAATCATATTGAATAATATCTAACTACAATAAAAGGTAAATAGTTCACTCAGACAAAAGTGTAAGTTCACCAGACATTGGATAGTTATATAGAAAAAAAACTAACTAACCTTTTGAAAAACGTATCATGCTCTCTAATGTTTGTAAGAAACCACCATATTGTTTGGTACACGAAGAAATCAAACTTAGATACAATGGTAACAATGGGATAGACACTTACCATTTTGTTGTAGCTTACCCGTTCTGCGTATATGTATATGTACGTGTGTGTGTGGGTGGGTGGCTGTAGGATCAAGCATTTCTGGGCACTTACGAGTTTGTCTTTTGAATGAGTGATTCATGTAAGAGCATGACTTACACTATAGATTTCATGTTATTAGGCTTCTTTCATCTAACAAGACCTGATGCACTATAACGGTGTATTCATAGAAAACATATGCATAAATAGCTTTAGATGATTGAAATGAAAACTCTGGTGAAATTTCTACTCCTAAACACAACACTCACTCATTAAATAAACTATGAAATCTTCTAACTTAAAAAGACCCGATGGGATAGATAATTTCATATTAACAACCTAAATATCAATAAATTAACAATACTGATCAATGAAGAAACACTAATAGCTTCATGAAAAAATCATTAACCACAATAAAATTTATTGAGTTGTTGATTTCAAACTGTTTCCACTAACCAGTCATTTACGATAAAGAATTTTATCTACAATTTTTATTACTGAAATCTTGGATGCGTGCGAACGCCCAACCTCTGGTCCACTGAATCGATATCCGACGGTGTTATTGGCTAACTCTGATTAATCTAGGGACTTGACGCAACCTCACCCATTGTCTTTTGTAGTTACTGCCTATATCCGACAGGGTTGAACTGCAGTGGTTACGTTTTCTCACTAGAATTCCGAGCATTTCGTCACGAAGCTAGTGACTGGTGATCACATTTTACGATTTTTGATTACAGAGTTATGGAGATAGTTTCTGCAAGACCGAATGTCTTGGGTTCGAACCCTGCGGGTAGCAAGTTTCGTGGATGCGCATTGCTGATGAGCCCCGTACCAAGACGAAACGGTGATCCAGTACTTCCAGGTTTCCGATGGTGGTCTAACGATGATTCATTCATGGTTTCAGTAAAAAAACAACAATCTCCATGACTCTATAATGAAAAATCCTACAATTTTTACTTGTTAGCTAATCCTTATGAAAAAAGCAATCATTCGGCAATATATTAATTTATATTTATCGAATTAGAAAACAGAAAACATAATTATTACTCATTAGATGTAAAAATTAATTTCGTTAAAAAATTTACTAGAAACGTATAACGTTTTTAAATATGTTGTCTATCGTGTTATTAATGATGAACTGTATAGAAAGTACGCTTTTAATGTCTGCAATATGTCATCATGGAATCATGAATCGATCGAGGTTAGACGATCATAAGAACCTGGAAGCACAGGATTACCGTTTCACTCTAGTATGTAACTCCTTAGCAGTTTGTTTCTACGACTCCACAAGTGGTAGTCCATCCTAAAACCTTCAGTCTCGAGCGCAAACGCCTAACTTAACTTCTTGATTAATAAGCCGGAATCCAATGATGTTATTGTCTGACGTCAATCTGCAGAACCTAATAACGAAAAATAACGAAAACTCACTTGGTCAAAGAGACACACATTTAGGCGTTCAACCATAGTTATCTTCCTGTACCTTAAAGCTGCATCTAACCCTGTTGATCGTTAGGTTCTTAGGCACTGTAGGGTGTACCAGAGAAGTACATTAACCTTATACAAGCTCTCTACTCGAAAGCTACAGGTCGAGTGAGAGCTTTTGACGAACTGTCAACGTAAGTGATTACTTCAAGTGGTGTCCGTCAGAGATTTTCACTTTCTCCATTCCTGTTTAACTTTGTCGTAGACATGAATTAGAGTTAACGTTATATTCGTCTGACTTTTCAGTGGTTGACCTTCTAACAGGAGACACGCTTGTTGATTTAGAGTATGCCGATGACATAGTTCTAGTTGGTGAAGACTCTGACAAAATGCAGTCTTCTGAATACCTTGAGCAACAATGCAAGTATGTTCGGGATGCGGTTTGCCCACTCTCCCTCGAAATGCACAATGCTGCTTCAGGATTGGCGTGTATCGGCACCTGAACTAGTGATAGGGAGTGAAGCAGTTGAGCATGTTGACCGCTTCACTTATCTCGGGAGTCTCGTCAGTGCTGATGATCTGTTGTGTGACGATGTCTCAGAACGGATACAGAAGGCTCAATTGGATTTTGCAAACCTCGTCACTTATCGCGTAGGAGAGGCATCTGTTTGCTGACTAAATGACGAGTGTAATGCTCTGCAGTTCGCTCTGTCGTACTTTATTGCTGCGAAACATGGCCGACATGAGTCGTGTCGTTAGGTGTCGACAATCTGGTTGTGGTCTGTGAGGTGATAGTAATTGATGGTTAGAGACCCTGAATGACGTGGCTAAAAACCGCTTGCGATGGTGCAGGTGCATTCATCCCTTGTGTTCTCTCAAATCCTAACCTTCTGAATTCGTCATTACCTTTATCTTTTAAGTTCATTTCACTAGATCCTATCTCTTCAATAATATCTTTGAACCCTAATCTCTCTGATTGCTGCTAATACTTTTACTACCTCTACTACTATGGGATTTGAATTGACAATTGCATCTCTATGCTAATGTGGTATGGTAACTTGAACTGATCTACGTCCGTACGAAGTTCCACATTGTAACTGACTGACTGATGTGGTCAAAGGTATAATAGTAGTAGTTACTCACTGGTGACACTACATAAATTAATGAACTACCACATAAAGTCGGATGATAATTGGAATCACGGTATTTCAACTCAGTTTGAATAATATGGGTTTTATCTTACATGGTGTTCACATTTATAAGAATTTCTAAACTTGGACAACATCGCTGTCTGTTACTTTTTCGGTTTGAATTGTTTCACACTTAAATTTCATTTTATAAAAGAAATTTGTCTTCGTTATTTATTGATGGTTAATGTAACCTTGTTTGAATTGGTTTTTTAAATATCTAGTTTCTTCCTAAAGACTTAACATCTGCTGTGTTCAGGAATGCACAGAATTTAGAGGTTGTTTTGATGTTATTTAGTTAAAAGTAGTCAGAAAGAAACTCTAGAGTTACGCTTCTCACCTGAAGTCTTTGTGAAATTATTACTGTTTATGGTATTTAAACTAGTGTTATTCACTTGAAAAGTTTTTGAAGCAAGAGAACTGAATTTTATGAATAACGACTTACATACTGTATCGAAATTTAGTCATTGAGTAGTAGTAACGAATGTCGTATTTGTAGTGTCCATAGTGCTGATCGAATTCGATCGATTCAGTTTAAATTTAAGCATTATTTAAGCATTACTTTAGTCGCTAGTCAGCAATAAATCAGTTGTGAATGTCCTAGTTCAGCCGCAGACCATTCGTCATGCAAAAAGCTCAGTGCTAAAATTTTCGACTGTGAAAATAAGCAACTCTAATTAGAATCCAACAACAAGCACCATTTCTGTGAAGGGCTGTGGGACGCCCTACGGATGATTACCTAATCGCAGTAAATGCAGCTACAGCGTTTTCTGCGGACTAAATCATTTACATAGTACCTCAACTTAACCCATTTATTTACGAGTCATATTTTCTGCTATTCTATGGATTCAAACAGTACGGATGACTGAACAAATGTAACAATGGTTGCTACTCGGAAACCAGTAAATGTACAGCCTACATTAGTTATGATTCATTCCTAAACGCAGAACTAAACGGCACCTAATGTGTATTCACTCTCTGTTCATGCACTTGAAAACATGTATCTGTGATCCTTTTATAAATTTTTTTCTGAAAATTTTTATTACAGGTTAATCTCAATAAAAATCGATTAGTCAGTATTGTACCGTTTGACTGGAATCGTGTCACTCTCTGTTCAATACGTGGTGTAGATGGATCTGATTATATCAATGCCAGTTTAATTGATGGTTATTTAAAGAAAAATGCATATATTGCTTGTCAAGGGCCAATGATATCAACTGTAGAAGATTTTTGGCGTATGGTTTGGGAGAAACACAGCTGTTTAATAGTGATGTTATGCTCAGTAAAAGAGGGTGGAAAAGTAGGAATACATATATATTGATATCTATTGGAATTTATAAATATCCAGCTTATTCCATGTATCATGAATGATTAACAGAATTTGAAATCTTTTATTCTTTGACAAATATGAGGTAACCTTTTAAAAGATCTCCGCTGAACAACGATTGAAAACGAGGAATCGGAGAACATGTGTTGAGCAGTGCGCATCAGTACGCATACACAACCGTAATAAGGACCGAATTCAAGATACTCAGATCTCTTCTTTAGTAGTTAACCTTTAAACTTTCGATTTAGCATCCAAAAGTTAACATTTATGATTTTAACTAAACTCATGGTATTGTGTAAATCAATATCTTCCGACATGATCGATGGATGAGTAGTAACTGTATCACATTCAACATGGTTGAACTCACCTGGGTTGTGACTTCCCAGTAAAACTTCATGATTTATCTTTCCCAAACTAGTCACTAATGAGCATACAACTGTTAATTAGAGATAACATTAAGCTATTTAAAATAGAAATGGATAACATCATTATGCTATTTATTTGATATCAATAATACAGGATTACGAAGTGGAAACTTTGTTTTAATACATTCCATAGATCTATGTACTTGCTTAACTGACCAGAAGATTGCTCAACACTATTCAACATAATTACCACTGACTTATATAATATGCAGTCAATATCAATAAATAATATCTTTTGATTAAATCTGTGTAAACAACAAGATACATGATCAAATTTCAACTTTGAAATTACAGTTTCTCATAAGCAAAAATAAGAAATATTTGAAATCACTGAACATATTGATTAGTATTTTGTCAAGGATTTCAATTTTGTCAATCGAACTGATATCGTATATAAATTACAATTATAAATAAACAAATGAAATAACTGGAATAGCTTTACGATTTTAAATTTAATTGATTATTTACTTTTGATAAGCAACAAAAAGATAAACTTAATCTACCTTGAAATCTTCCTTTACCGAGTCATAATGATTGTTAAGTTTTATTGAAATAATGACTCAATCACATTGTTAGACCAGCATTAGCAAGTAACCTGGAAACGCTGGACGGCTGTCAAGTCCTAGTATGGAACTGATCCGCAGTGCGTATCCACGACTCCCGCATGCAGGAATCAAACTATGAACCTTCGATCTCGCGTGAGAACACTTAACCTACTGTAGACCACTGCTCCGGTATCCAGAGCTGTCAATGTCTAATTTTGATCAATGTAATAATTATCTATTTAATAATAGATTTGGCTCTGTGAGAAAGAAACATTATACTTTTTTTTCTTAATATTGAATTAATGTAGATTTTGCATTGTTTTGTATTGTTCTTCTAATTCATAAATTAATCTCTATTAGGAGAAATGTTTTACTTATTGGCCAGAAGATAAACCATCACGTTATCAATTTTTGGTAATTGATTTATTAGCTCAACATTCAATGTCTAATTATATATTACGTGAATTTAAATTAACTGATACACGTGATGGTGAATCACGTACAATCAAACAATTACAATATATTCATTGGAATGAACAAGGATTACCGCAGACAAGTGAAAGTCTAATTGATCTCATTGGACATGTACATAAAATTAAAGAACAATATCATTGTAATGATGGACCAATTACTGTTCATTGCAGGTAAATAATAATAATAATAATATTAATCATAATTTTCATATTTTCGTTATTTTAAACTGATTATCTAGATTAGTTCGCGGCTAGGAGCCCTCCTGGTGTTATTGCCTATCCTAAGTCCGGATAGAGGAGGAGGGTTGTGCATTGAGTTAGCAACCTCATTTCATAGAAAATCAATTCACTAAAGAAAAAGGCTAACTATAAAAAATAATCTTAAACAACCATCTGTTTTATTTTTAAATATTTTAAAATAGTATTCTTAGTATTTAAATGAAATTAACTAGAGTTTAATGGAAATCAAATAATGAACTGAAAAGCGGTGTTTTTCTTTTTTCTAAATCCGTACTACAGAATGAACTTGTAGCCTTTCGTTTTCATAAATAACATATCACGAATCAAATTAGTGTTATACATTTTAATAACATAGATGATATATATATATATATATATATATATATATATATATATATATATATCGTTCGTGATCTTTGTTTCACTGTAAACTATAGTAAACTCTCTTATTGTATATTATATGTTCAGAAGTAAGAGTTTTTTCTAAAAAGTTAGTTTTCTACGGGTTGTAGTAGCCAACCTCATGCCCAGCCCTCCTCCTTTATCCAGGTCTGGAGCTGGCGATAGTCCAAGAGGGGTACCAGGAGAGGTTTGGTCAGAGGTAGTCAGAAGGCATTGCTTAACCTTTTCTTCAACCGAATTCTCATGTTAGTTAACATTTATCAGCATGAAATACAGCGTTGTCTTGATATAACCAATACGCTTAGAGGGATTATTCAGGACGTTAGCATTAAGCTAGTCGGGTTGTAACCAGTCGTCTGTAGGATTGGAATCACTATTAAAAAAGAACTGAAAATCCTACTAAATCCATATTATTCATCAATATTCATCAATCCATTTTAAGTTATTCACAATTCATCATTCACTGATTCTCATTAGTCTTTAATAAAATTAGTGTTTCAAAATTAAATGATCATGAGTACACATGATAGTTGGTTAGTTAGTTAGTTGACTATGAAAATTCATTTTATTTTTCCAAATAGATTTTTCAGCAACAATAACAACAACAACATAAACACATTTCATTGATAAATTGATACATTTTGAAATATTGGAATAACACAAAACACAATGAAATTGTTTCTTTTTAAAACAAATGTGTTATTTTTTTTATTTCTATTTCTTGGAGAAATAAACATTTCAATTTGATTTTGAAAAATATTAGTTATGTAAATAAATGATTGAATAGTTTTTTTTTTTTTCTGAGGAATAAAATTGTAGGCATAATGTTGATATTTTCTAGATGAAATTGTTATGACTTAGTCACTACTAGTCGATGGTGATATCTTGAAAATTAATTTCAATTAGAATGAATTATTCTCATAAGTTTTATGAAACTCTCTGTAGTTGTCACCATTTTATCAGTGAATATCTTGGTTGATATGCTTCTTTATTTTTTCACATTACTGGTAAAAACAAACAGTATAATTTTGCTTGTTTACATTTGCATAATAATTAAAATCTACTCATTTTCTTCTTTTTTAGAAAAAAAAAAAGAATTTCTTTTAATATCACTATGTAATTCTTGATATAATAACAGTTCATCTCTTGACATTTTTATTGAAAGTGACAATATATGTCGGTTATACATTGAGTTTAAAATAATCATAATATCTCATAATCAATAGATAAGAATTAGAAGTGCATTGTAACACAAGCTTTTTCAATAATCAAGAAATCTTAACATATAAGCTCATATTATTTGTATTCTTTTATTATAAGTCAGTAATCCAGTTTATTTATCATATATTGTGTATTCGTTTTAACTTCATTCAGCATTTAGTACCGAATTGAATTTTGTCAGTAACCTCAAATTAAAAGAATATCTTATATGTATGGCTGTCAAGTCCTAGTATACGATTCAGCAGCACTGCACAGCCACAACCCCCGCCCACGGAGATCGACCACATGACCTTCGATCTCGAGCGTGAACGCATAATTTCTACACCACTAAGTTGACATCCAACGGTGTTACTGTTTAACTTTGGTTAATCCAAGGTACTGCATGACCTCTCCATTGTCTTCTGTAGTTACTGCCTACGACTTACGGCTTCTTCTTAGAACTCCGAGAATTTCCTCACGAATCTGGTCGTTAGTGAAAACATTCACTCTACTTATCATCTTGACTAAAGACATAAAAAGTAATCTTTTCAATACCAATTCATAACATCCACCAGAATTCTCCAACTGACTCTGTCCAAAGGCCTTCCTTTCCAGTCCTGCTCAATCTCTGTTAATTCTTTGCATGTCTTCTTCCAATTTTCACAGCAGCACGAACAACTCTCACGGTCTCCCTTCCAACTCTCATGGCAGAGTTTAAATGATTTCATTATTTTTTTCTCGCTAGCGTTATTTCAGCGAGTAAGTTTTGTACATGCTCAACCCTTTTCCTTCATCTGGGCTTGAGGCCGCCAGTAACCTCATAATGGCACCAGCCGGAGTTAAGTCTCTCATCTGAATTTTCTTAATTTAAAAAGAATTCAATCAATTTAAAAGGAAGAGAACTGTAATGGTAGCTAAAAATCAATGACAGTTCATTAGGCTAATCACTTTCAATGCCTGAATTTCAAAACCACATTCACATGAGATTAAATCAATCAGTTGGATATCCGAAAAGATCAATATTGTAAAAAGCAATCTCTAATGAGAAAGATAAGACATTAAGAATACATGCTTAAGAAAACCTAATGGAGAAGTATACATTTGTATGAAAAAATGCGGAAATTCAAGATTTGGATAAAGATAGTAAAAAAAATAAACCGAAGTCATATCACTTAGTGTCTTCAACCAGTGACTATAGTATCGGAACAGATGATCTTCAATTACCATTGTAATTTATGTCAAGTGTGAATAATTTTATATGCTTGCTGGTGGCGGTAACTAACAGATGTAAGCAATTCAGCTTCATCAAGAATAAGTCATTTATCCGAGAAATTAATTAGTAATGATGAATGAACAAGCATCACAAGTGTAAATTTGTTTCCTATGAACTGTGAAAATGTTTTAGCAGGTAAGTCTCAACAAGCATGAACTATTCTAGATTTCATCAATCTGTGCAACAAGTTCTCTGTATTCAATGCTACATGACAGATTTTTAATTATCGTCTATATTTCATGTGTATTTTTTTTTCAGTTCTGGCGCTGGTCGAACAGGTTTATTTATAACCATGTGTAATGTATTAGAAAGATTGCGTCAAGAATCAGTTGTTGATATGTATCAAACAGTAAAATTGCTAAGACAACAACGTGTTTGGATGGTTCAAACTGAAGAACAATATCGTTTTTGTTATACAACAACATTGGATTATTTAAATTCATTCGATTTATGCACACAACCTCAGTTATTAATTCAAACAACGAATAATTTACAACTGAATTCACCAAAGCATAAAGTAAAAATGAAATCTTCACAATTCACTGATAAAAATGTTGTATTTGAATTAGATAAAAATTATGAATCAATTAATAATAATAATTTAGTTAAGCAATTAAATTGAACATGAAAACCACACTATTCAATGTTCAATAAGTCAATGTTTTGAAAGTGAATATTATACATATACATAACTTTCAGTTGATAAGAAGCATAAAAAAATTTTTTACTTTACAACACATTTTTTTGTTAATATTTTATTACAAAAGTTTTCAGATTAGTCTGAAGAACACTTATAATGAGCAGTGATCTTTTAAAGTTGAAAACAGTTGAGATAATTGACTAATTGTACTTATTTAAAGGTCATAAATATTTTACAGTTTTCTATGTTTCATTAAATTTCTACAAAGCACCAAGTACATTAGCATAAACACAATTCAAAATCAGTAAATAATTGATGGAACTTAATGTCTAATGATCTCATCATTTCTATTGTGTTCGTGTGTGTATTCCTCATCCACTGTCCAGTTAATTGGTTGGATCTTAGTTCATATGATGAAACGGTCTTTCTCTGTTTGATCACAACTTGACTGTTTTGACAGCATAATCTTTTAGGAGTATAACTGATATAATAATAGTTATTACTGTGAGTAGAGGAGCGTCCTCTAGATTGTTGAATGTTAGTAAGATCATTAAACTGTGTAATTAAGACATCCATTGAAACTATGTATGGAGGACTCCTCAATAGTGCTCATTCAAAATTTCACAAGTATGGGATCCAGTACTTTCGGTCTCCCTCAAAAGTGCTTAACCTCTAAACTACTTAATCAGCATTCAGTTTGCGACATAACATAACTAACTTGCATTGCTTTTGGTGGATAACTGACTGACATTCGTCAATCATGAACATATTCATCCACGACTTCTCACTAGACCCTCGTTAATCACATCTAGAAATCAGCCACTAGTGATGAGATGGTCATTTTAAGAGAAGGGAGTGTAAGGAGAGATCTTTGTGTGAAATAGCAAATTGACTGAAGTTAGATATATGAGAACCTCCAGCTCAGTGGTCTAGTGTTTGACAGCTCGCGGGGAGATCAAGGGATATTTGGTGAGGTCGTGGATGTGAACCGTTGAGTAGACGTAATTAATATCCAGCGGTTTCTAGTTTTTTATAGATAGTTAGGTTAGTTAGGTTCAAGAAATCGATAACAGCAATCGATGTAACTGATTATATTTTTTCTAATTTGACCTATTTGATTGTTACTAAAGTAAATTTTTTCCATTGCTTGTGTAAATCATCGTTTAGATACATTTGTTTCTTATTTAGTGTTATTGTTACTATTCTCATAATCTTATCATCAATCATTTCAAATACCATTTAATATGCCACTCACCATGATGATTATTATGTCACCAACAAGTATTTTGCATTTTGTACTTTCTTAACATTGATTGTCAAAATAATACATCTGCTTATTGTTGTCGATATTCATAAGTCTTTGAATTGGTCACCTTTTAGTGGCCAATGGTTTGAATCCAGTTTGGACGAATAATTCACTAGCCATGAAATAAGTCTCCCTCTGTATTGCCGTTTGTGTGACGGCGGTAATATGAAGCCAATTACTGTTTTTACAATAATGAAAATGAAAAGCGTACAAATATAAAGCAAAACGAAGTGAATTGTAGACGACAAGTAAGCCAACTCTCTATGCACTGAAGCATGACCAAGTATTTATAGTCAAGCAATAATAGGCTAGACAGGTAATAAGTGGGTAAACATGCACCTGGACACTCAAATATAAAATAATCGATAAAGTTATTGAATTATTCAAATTACTAATCATTAAAGCTAACGTATGTGGGATGCTATAACCTGCCTAATGAATTGCATTTGCAATGTTGATTCGTTGATTAATGATTTCATTTAATTGATTACTAATTTCTGCATAATAACATATTGACTAATTGAAATAAAAAGATTAAAATCGATATCCCCGATCTTACGATAAACATGAAATTCAAAATCCACATTAATGATTGCTAATATCTATTTTCATTTTATTGCTGGACTTGGTAGTATTTTAGTGAATAGAGAACTCAGAACTAGGCATACAGATATATACGCATTACACCACCATATCAATTGGATGAGATAAAAATGCCAAAGCAATGAATGTAGTGACAATATCAGTGATAATAATAAGCATTAGAATAAGAGAATATAACTCAGGAATAAAATCATTTTACCATAGAAAATTATCAACCAATGTTAAGACTGAAAAACTGAATCAATACAGTGAATGTATGTATCTGTATCCCTGATTCTACATAGTGGTGTCACTCCACATCTCTAACTGTTGGTCCCAACAGATGTTCTGATTTCAGTGTGAGAGTTTAAACCTACCTACATGACTTAATTTAACAGTTAGTAGTTTCATGAACTGATGACACATTTTCATTTAAGCGATCTTAGTTTGCTTTAAACTTAGTCCTAGAATTGAATGTCAGAGTACGTGGTGGTTGACTGTATTTGATACTCGAATTCCAGTTCTTTAGTCGATCAAGAATCAGTACGTCACTAGCTTATTTATCTTATTTTACTTGATACACTGCGTCTAACTTCAGCAGTGATCAATTAGTGCTTCAAAAATATACTTGTGTAATACTTTAGAAATCCCTACGATCAAATTCATTTGTAATGTACTAATATCTTAGTAATTATTAAAAATAGAACAGAATGTAATCACTAGTTTTATTCTCGGCATTACACTATGTTTTTATAAAATTCTAAGTTTCAACCATGAAAAGAAGTGGAGCATATGTGTAATTCTAACTTAGGTTACTTACTTATTTAAGCCTCCTACCGAAATTAAGCATAGGCTTCTGACCAACATTCTCCAACCTACTCTGTCCTATACCTACCTTCCTTTCCAGTTCTATCAAATTGCTGTCCATTCTTTTCATGTCTGCTTCTGATTCTGGGCGTAATGTGTTCTTTGGCCTTGTCTTGTGACGCAGTTGGGTACTGTCCTTAATGTGATATGAAAATCTATTGTAACTTCATTTTCTAACTAATTAAATTAAATTCTTACACTATACAGCAAAATAATTTTAACCGTATATATTTTATTTCATAGGGATTATTTATCATGTAATTTAGTTCATCCTATATCGAGTATTTTCATTATAGGATTAAGGAGGTTGCTGAGTTTTATTAAAATTATGAATCGATCAGTGTTAGACTATCATTAGGAACCAAGAAGGATTAGATAGCCGTTTTGTCCTTGTCCGAGTGCAGTAATCGAACACAGAACCTTTAGTCACGCTTGAATTCGCTTAACCTGTAGATTAATGCGCCGGCATCCAATGATGATAATGTCTAACTTCGATCAATCCACGATATTTCATGGCCTCGGTGAGTGACACCCTCAAACTCTATTTTCTGGAACTCCATTAGACACGCCTTTTCATTCCAACTCCGAAAATTTCCTCATGAAGCTACTCACTGTTGAGTACATGATAATTGTTATTATTGGATTGTGTAGTTTGCTGACGTACGTAAACATTATCTGATTTTATTTTTTAAATCAATTCAATCATATAATGTTCTTCAGCAATTCCACACAAACCTTATTTCAATTTTTTCTTTTGAAAACTAAGTAGCACTGATGAACGTTTTGTCCTGCATTACTAAAATTTGCACTGGTTGGTAATCAAAATCTATATGTTGACATTTTCATTTATTTTGCTTCATAAGATATGTAATCCTTGTATTACTTGAATGTTACAGGACTAGATTTCGTGATGCCCAGCACAAATTAGCAAGATATCTTTTCTAACGTTAATAAAATGATACTCTCGGTGAGATTAAAAAATAAGTCACCAACTTTGAAATTTAATTCATCAGGGTTGATCAACTTTGCATATTACACGAACACTATACTGGTTAACTACTTAGTAACCAATCAGTCTAGCTCAAAAAAAATAGTTTAATCATAGGGATATAAGTTTATCCAGGTAACCAGTCGTGAATAAGACGAAATTGCCATCTTAAATCTCACTGTTAGATGTACCCGACTTTACAAATAAATGTCTACTCTTAATTTCTGTCTTATTTTCAATCAAAACTGAAAAAAATACACCTTGTCTTGTTCGATAAAAAGGTATTTTCTCGTTTCAGTTTGAATAATTAATACACTAAATTATTATTGGAAATTGTGTACGAATTTATTTTTACATGCAACACCTATTATTCATTACAAAAAAAATTGTATAATATTTGATTTAGAAGAAAGAAACAGCTAAAGTAGTGAAGAATTTCAGAGGTCAATCATCTCTGAAATCATATACTCACAGACACTAATGCATGCATATATGCAATCGCAAGCGTACATAACATGGTTATACAATTTCCAGAACTATATACACTACCCTAGATGCTACAACTGGATACATGAATCACTTTTACAATTCAACTATATACATATATATACACCAAATTCTAATTAGCATCACATGATTAGTAGCACATTACATGCCTGTAATTAGAAAAAAACCCTTATTCTATTTGGAGTTTAATCTTCTCTATAAATCATAATGAATCTAAACTATGAGGAGAAAATATCAAATCATCAAAGAAGGATACAATCCTTTTTTCAATGAAAAGTGAAAAAGTAAATTATTCATCAAATATTTCGAATTTTTTCTTTTAGATATTGATGAAAATGAGTCACATGGAGAAAAAAAATTTGATTGGTCAATGAATAAAATAGTCATTTTTTTTTATAACTGAATTTCAGTACATGGTCAAATTGAATTTCAAATATTAACGAATGTATTTTGAATTCATCTAAAAGTTCGCAAAAAAATCAAAGCTGTTTTATGAAGACTAATCTAACTTTATGTAAGTTTACTGAACAAATTTAAACAATCATAGTGAATTGTTTCATTCACATTTGGGATGTCCCATCAATACGCATCAATGATGACAATTTTGTCTAGATGATATGCAGATAATAAAAAAAAAATAAAACGGATTTCATGTTATCCTGTTACAAATGTTGTTTGTTTTTTTTCGGTTCGATTTAACATTACACAAATTAGGACGTTTAAACAGAATAA